TTATGTAACCTCCTGGATTCAGGCTGGAATGGAAGCTTTTATTCCTTTTCGTCAGTTTCAAGTCAAGCCTTATTCTACTCCATGGTTTTCTTCTTCTTGCGCGGCTGCTATATCCAATCGTTATCATTTTTTTTATCTTTTTCATAAGAACAACTCTCTTGAGAAGAAACAGCTATTTATTATTGTAAGTCATATGACTGATCTTATTACCTCTCCCAAGGATAAGGCAGAACTATTTGCGAAGAATTCCACTCTTGAATCTTATGGACATTCTCTTCCTTCCATTCCAGTCAAACAGGTTGACCCATTGTTAGACATTCAAATCATTCCGGCTTCTGTTGCTAAATTCATATTTCAATTAAACTCGTCTACAGCTTGTGGTCCAGATAACATTCCTGTCACAGTCTTGCAGAATTGTTCTCCAGAACTTTCTTCAATTCTCTCTAAATTATTTAACAAGTATTTGACTGAGTCTTGTTTTCCTGCTTGTTGGAAAATGGCATCTGTGGTTCCAATATTCAAAAACTCTGGAGAAAATTCTGACCCCTCTAATTATCGTCCAATCAGTCTGCTTTCTGTTATTAGCAAGGTCTTTGAGATCAACAAATTCCTCACATCTCATCTTGAGTCAAATAAACTGCTGTCAGACAATCAATACGGTTTTCGATCCTCTCGCTCTACAGCCGACTTGCTAACCGCTGTAACTGAAAGATTTTATCGTGCATTAGATGGAGGCGGTAAGGCTAGGGCTATTGCTCTCAACATATCTAAAGCTTTCGACAAAGTTTGGCATGCTGGTCTTCTCCATAAGCTTGCTTCATATGGTGTTTCTAAGAAAGTTTTTGAGATTATTAAATCATTTCTTTCTAACCGGTTTATTAAAGTCATCCTTGAAGGCCAACACTCTTCTTTATTTCCAGTAAATTCTGGGGTTCCTCAAGGTTCCATCCTGGGCCCTGTTTTGTTTCTTATCAACATTAACGATCTTCCTGACAACCTTTCATCTAAAGTAGCTCTTTTTGCTGATGACTTATCTTTATACTCCTGTCTTGACAAAAAGTCTTCTCTTTTCGATCGCCTAGAACAAGCAGCTGATCTTGAATCCAATCTCACTTCAGTAATAGATTGGGCTTTACAGTGGCTTGTGAATTTCAACTCTAACAAAATCCAGTTGCTTACTGCAAACAACTACTGTAATATGGTCAACATTCCTATATTAATGAATGGCAATCCTCTTACTGAGTCCTCCTCTTTACGTCTTCTTGGAGTATCGCTTACTACTGACCTTTCATTAAAACCATATATACAATCGATTGCTAAATTAGCTTCTGCTAAGGTTGCTTCTCTTTATTGTGCTTGCCATTTTCTTACTTCTGATTCCATTCTCTACCTCTACAAATCTCTTATTCGTCCCTGTATGGAATACTGTTGTCATATTTGGGCTGGTTCTCCTAACGATTCACTTTCCTTTCTTGACAAGGTCCAAAAACGCATTGTAAATGTTGCTGGACCTGAACTACCTGCTAAGCTTGAGCCTCTTTCACATTGTCATAAAGTTGCATCTCTTTCTCTTTTCTACAAACACTATCATGGTCACTGCTCAAAGGAGTTATCATCTCTAGTTCCATAAACTAAAATTCATTCTCGTTTTACTCGTCATTCAGCTAAGTCTCATTCGTTTACTGTATCTGTCCCTGCTAGCTCTAAAAACTTTTATTCATCTAGTTTTTTTCCCCGCACTTCAATCCTTTGGAACTTTCTCCCATCTTCATATTTTCCTGACTCATACAACCTTCAACTTTTCAAGTCTTCTGTCAACCGTTTCCTTGCTCTATAACTCTGTTCTTTTTTTTCCTAGTAACTCCCAACTTAAAAGTGGTTGCTTGCAGCCTTGTTGGGAGTGAATGCAAATAAAAAAAAATATATATATATATATATATAGTTATATGCATGGTAAGTTAAGGCGAATGATTACATGCCTTACTGACCAAGATCGTTTAGTATGCACTTTAATACTACATTTGTATTTTTCTATATACATTAAAAGTTTCACCAAGGTAGTTACATTTGACTTAAGGGTAAATTAACTTGTAAGTAAACTTATGGGAAAAACCCTGCTGGCTTTGATAAATAAGGTTGCTTAACATCAAGCGTTTAAACATACATGTTTGCAGGTGATCCTAAGTGTATATGTACATACTATGTATAATATAAATTATATTATAAAACAGATAGCACTTAAAGAAACAAGTAACACACTTACACGAAATAAAGCAACTATCACATGCAACACTAACACAAAAGAAACCAAAAAAAGAGTGCTTAACTTAAATTTGTTTCATCATAACTACTACTTACTTAATTACACAGTATCCTGGCGTTGGCTTAGAACATGTCACCTTTGTAAACTCAAACTTTGTTCTTTTTAAAGAATCAGCAAAACCAACAATTAAAGTAAAAGTGTAGTTTTTTGATTCAAGAAGAATATCTTTATTGATTACAAGGCTTGGATTCAAGAAACCTGTTGTTGTTGCATTTATTGACAATTTGATTTCAGGTGGAACAATATTATTGTCATCTGTTATGCTCCACTGAGTTATTAATCTAAAAAAAAATGTTTAAAAATTCCAGACTTTTCAAATCTTAATCCAAAAAAAACTTAAAATAAAATCCTAAAATTAATATTTTCTCGATTAAATAGTTTCAAATACCACTAACCTTTTAGAACCACAATTTTCACAATCAAAAGCATATATTACACGCTCTTTGAAATTAAGTTTTGATTCACAATTAGATATGCATCTATATATATATATATATATATATATATATATATATATATATTATATATATATATATATATATATATATATATATATATATATATATATATCTGTGTGTGTGTGTGTGTGTGTGTGTGTGTGTGTGTGTGAGTGTGTGTGTGTATATATACATATGTATATAAATATATATACATATATATATTATTAGAAAATCACTTAATAAAAATATTTTTCTATTTTACACTGTGCTTCATCAACTAAGACTCATCAGAAATCTTCTGATGAGTCTTCGTTGATGAAACACAGTGTAAAAGGAAAAACAATTCTTGTTAAGTAATTTTCTACTAATTTATAATAGCTCTGTTCTTTTAAGAACATTAAGCACTCTATTTTGTAGAATACATTTTTAAAATTAAGTAAATTGCCGAAGTAAATTGCATTCAGGAAAGCAGGTGTTAAGTTTCATTCTGCAACTTCACAATTTTATAAAAGAGGATATTTGAAAGGCCGAGAGATTTATGAATTCTCAACTTTTTACAAAGCAAATTGAGTCTAAGAGCTCCTCTCATCTCAAATCTCATAACCTACTTTCTAATCATCAATATGGATTTCGATCTTTCTAATCATCGATATGGATTTGCTATCAGTAATAACCGATAGGTTTTATCGCACATTAGATAAAGGTGGACAGGTTAAGGCCATCGCTTTTGACAAAGTTGTCCTTGATGGACAGCACTCTTCTTAATTTTTTGTAACCTCAGGGGTTCCCTGAGGTTACAGTAAATGAAAAAGATTGCTTCCTATATTTATGAACGGTAATGTACTCAATGAGTCTCCTACCCTATATCTTCTAGGATTAACTCTTACTTCTGATCTTTCTTGGAAACCTTATATCAAAATTAGCATCTGCTAAAGTTGCTTCTCTTTATCGAGCTCATCACTTTCTTACTCTGGATTCTATTCTCTATAAATCTTAAATCCAGCCTTGAATGGAATACTGTTGCCATATCTGGGGCGGATCTTCTAATGATACCCTTTCTCTTTTAGACAAGGTGCAAAAACGCATTGTAAACATAGACCTGCTCTTGCAGCCAACCTTCAACCTCTGTCACATTGTTGTAATGTTGCTTCTCTTTCTCTTTTCTACAAATACTATAATGAACACTGCTCTAAAGAGCTAGCGTCTCTTGTGCCAATTACTAAAATTCATTCTCATGTTACTCCTCATTCAATTAAGTTTCTTCCTTTTTCTGTTACTGTTCCTAAGTGCTCCAAAAACTCTTATTTGTCTAGTTTTTTTGGAATTCGCTTCCTTCATCTTGCTTTCCTGATTTATATAATTTGCAATCTTTTAAGTTGTCTGTCAATCGTTATCTTGCTCTACAATCTTTATCTTTTCTCTTCCAGTAACTTCCAACACTAATTAGTGGTTGCTTGCAGCCTTGTTGGAATATATATATATATATATATATATATATATATATATATATATATATATATATATATATATATATATATATATATATATATATATATATATATATGTATATATATATATATATATATATATATATATATATATATATATTAGGATGTCCCAAAAAACAACAATTTTGAAAATACTCTGCTCTCACCCCCTAAATGTGTTCTATCTAATGCAAAAACACTAGGTTTAAATTTTTTTTGAATAAAAAATATTTTAAGGGGTCCCTCAAGACCCTTGAATATTTAATGGGTCTCTAATATTTTCGAAAAAAAAGTTTTTCAAAAATATGTCAACCTGGTACTCAAATGAAGCAAAATTATATGAAAATTTTAAAAATAATATTCATTTCATTACAAAATTGTTATTTTTTGTTTTATAACATAAAAAATTGTGTTTTTTAAGAGAAAATGAAAAAAATGCATTTTTTATGTTTTTTTATGTGATAATTTTGATAAATAAGTTAAAAATATTTCTTTAATTTAAATATAATACCAACAACTTTTTTTGTTAATTAAAAATAAATTGATTTTACTTTTATTAAATCTTTATTTGAAAGGATACACATTTTACATTGCTTTATATTCTATTTTGTAAACAACTTCAAAAATGTCTATTTATTATAGTCTGATTAAATTATCCACTCTAAATAAATTTCTAATTTTATTTTAAACAGTCTTACAATTTTAACATGTTATATTTTGGTAATTAATAAATTTAATTTTGTAGGTATAAATCTATTATACAAATTAAACCAATCACCTCAAAAAAGGCATATTTAAAAAACTGTTATGAAACAAAAATCAAAAGTGTATCATGGTGTCCCTCTCTACCTTAATTAATTTTTTTGGTATAAATTGAAGTTTTGTTAATTTGATCATTCATTTCTGATAAATCTTTATAGATAAAACACAGTGTAAAAACACTGTTAGTATGTTCCACAAATAGAGTGCTCAGTGTTCTTTAAGCACTCTATTTCTAGAAATAGAGCAATAATAAATTGGTAAAAATCTAAATTCCTTTTACAGTCTGTTTCACCTTCACCAAGTTCATCAGGAAGATTGTCTTAAAATGAAAAAATTTTAATTATAGTATGTTATAAAAATAATACAACATTCAAACTTACCTCACAGTAACAGCTGGAAGATCAGCAGCCAAAATGAGAAGTTCTTGAATGAAACAACTTGTCTTGTTTATGTCATTTGAATCTAAATCTTTCCCTGCATACTTAGTCCCACAAACTTCAAAATGATAACTTATACCTTCTAGAAACTGTAGTGTACTATAATTTATATATGGATTTAAAGATAGAATATTATACCAGTGTTGACTAAAACATGTATCACTTTGATATGTTAAATTCAGAAGTGTGAAATTTTCCATAAGTTCTATGGCATATGAAAAATTTTTGGCTATTTTGCATCTCCATTTAAAAGTGATATTTTGTATTTCAGCACTTGGATCATCAGGATCATAACTGGACATTGCGCTTATCGTAAAATTTTGGTGAAAACTTTCATTTCCAATTTTCTTTTTGTATGCAATAGAATTAAAAAGTCCATTTTCAATATCTATGTACAGCGATGAGAAAACCACATTTAAAAATGCGTTATAAACAAAAGTGTCAACACCATAGTTAAATACTACTGAAAAGATGTAAAGACCAACAGAAAGCGCTTTTTTTTTTATTCTAAAAGTAATTGTTTGTTGAGAAAGAGTCTCTATCGATATGGCATCTTGTGCTATTATAGGTTTTGCTGAATAATTTGTAAGATTCCATTTAAAACTATAATTTTTGTTTATACAAAATGAATTAGCATTATCAATAATCGCAGTTAAATCTGCCCCGATACTTTGCATAATGATCATTGGATTTAAAAATGTTCCATAATAAAAAGTAATTTCTGGTGCTGAACAATTTTTAACTAAAACCATTATTGAGTAATTCACACTTTGCATATAGTTCTTACAAGATATAGAGATATTATATGTATTTTCAGTTTTGTACATATGCTGTACTTGAAATGAAACAGGACTTACATTCATGGTCTGATTGTTAAGAATAGAATCACCATCTCCCCAATCAATTGAGTATAACATATATGAACCTGAATACTGATGCACGTTAATGATGATAGTTTTGTTGAGAGACAATAGAACATTTCCATTACTTGAATTAATGGGCATTGTTGAAATATTTAAAGGAGACAAAGGGCAAAAAACTGTGACACTTGTGGACTTTGATAGTGATTTATTGACTGTTTTGAAACCATTTGCAAAAGTGTTTCCTACAAAAACATTGATTGTAAACACTCTGCAGACAGAATATCTGAAAAAAAATATACTTCAAAATATGTAACTTGTACAATTATTGTACAAGTTACATATTTCATCAAATGTATTATTTTTACAATGTATAATAACTGTTATTATATTTATTATTATTATTATTATATTATAATATTATACATTATTATTATAATCTATTTAATACTGAACTTAATAGTAGTAGTGCCTCTTTCGAGCCTGTTTTACAGAGAACTCTTGGCAGTCATTGGTAATGGCGAGAAAGAGTTACAACAGCTTTGTTTTAAAAGAAAACATGAACAAAAGAGTATCTTTAAACGAAGGTGTATCTTTGAACGAAACTTTATGTTTAGTGTATTTTTATGTATGTAATATTAAGTTTTGTAATAATAAATATGTAATATCATGTTTTACAGGTTTACTTGCATTGCGCAAAACATCTTTTTAATTTTGATTTAAACCATTTATTTCCCTTTAATAAAGTCTTTTGATTTTTAAATAATTTTAAACTTTATCTATAGTGTGTCAATATGGCCGAACGGTTAGCATGCCAACTTATGGTGGTGGAGATCAGGGTTCGGGTCCTATTGTCGAAACCTATTTTTTATTTTTATATATTTTATTGATTTTTTTCAAAATACAAAATAAAACACTTTAAAAAGAATAATGAAATTGTTTTGTTTTGCGTTTTAAACATTTTTTTAAAAACTAAAAAAAAAAAGGCAAGCTTGTCATGCGGCGACAGATTTACAGAATTACTTTTACTTAAAAATTTTATTGCGACAATATCTATTTATTTTAAAGCATTTATATGCCAATTTATAAAATTTAATAAGTTTTCTGTTTATTAAACAGTGTTAAAAGATAATACAGCATGCCAATGCTGTTGAAGTGCTTTGCTTGGGTTCAAATTCTTTTGCTTACACAGTTTTTTTTTTAAATTTTTTCCAATTTTCTAAAAAACAAAGAAAAACATTTTTAAAGGCCTATAGATATATAATATATATAAAGATATTATACACTATAACAAACCAAAGGGAGAGAATTTTTTTAAATGCTTTTTAAAATTTTTTAAAACATGAAAACACTGTTGAAAATTTTTTGCGCATATATCATGATAGAGATACTTATATTTTAGGTAATTAATTAGGTCTGTGCATTTAACACGCATTAAAGAGACAACTTTCTCTTTTATAGAAAAAAGATTTTACATGCAAAATGAAATTTTCTTCAGAATTAACTGGTCAAGAGTCCTAATAAGTACTAGATGGTATGAAAAAAAAATTATGTTCTGAAACTTAGTAAAAAAAATTTAATAACTCCAGAAGGTGACAAACAGAAAACCCAAAAATGCTAAAATTACATCATAATTTTAGTTCCACAAAATCCGGTAATAAGAATGCTGAAATATAAGATAAAAATATTAAATGATTTTTGTATTACAAAATATACGCCAACTCTCAAACGACTGTAAAACTTGTGGTTATGTAATTAAATCCACCAAATCCATCAAACTTCATACCATTTACTAAAAGCTATTTTAAAAAATTGCAATTCAAATTGTTGTAAATTAGTATTTAAATAATTTTCACGCTTTTACTATTTTGCGGTTTCCAATCACTTTGTATTGAATTATCTAAACCCAATATTATCTGTTCTTATATCAAGTACTTCACATGTATGAATTTTTTCTGTTTTTGTTTTATGCAGAAAAACAAATCAATTTAACTTATTTGACATGCCTAGCTCACATGACCTGTTATACTGGTCCTCAATTGTTTTTCAAATAAATACTACTTTAGAGAAAGGGTAGAGGTTTTACAATAAACTCTTTTTTGATAAATGTTTTGCAATTGTCTGTTTAAAATTATTCATGTTAAGTTTCTAACATATTTAATTAGGTAAATCTGGGCATCTAACACCGTGAAGAGACAATACACCTTTTCACAGTTCCAATATAAAATTTATGCGCGCACAGAAATGGAAGTAAAACCATAAACAAAAGTTATTTTAACAGTAATTTGTTCGAGATTTACAAAGCAAAACTAAGGTTTATCAAACAATATTATTAAACCAGCGCCATTAGTCTTATATAATTATTAAAAAAAACAACCTGTCTAATCCATTTTAAATAACATATTAAGAAACAACTGAAAAAAAGTACCTCAAAACATTGACTTTTGGATTTGTAAAAAAATAATTCAACTATCTTATTTTGTACTCTAATGTACTTAATGTAGTGTTTAAAGTTAAATTTATCCATATATATATATATATATATATATATATATATATATATATATATATATATATATATATATATATATATATATATATATATATATATATATATATATACATATTCTGAATAAAGTTATAAAATTTCAAGGACTTTTACAAATAGTTCAAGCACTGATCTAAAGTAAAAACCTGCAACATTACAATAAAATAATAATGATAATAATATAAATAATAATAATAATAATAATAATAATAGTAATGATAATAATTATAAAAATAATAATAACAATAATAATAAGATGACAATGAAGAGAAATATTATTAGTAACAATACAATAAAAATAATATATATATATATACATATACATATATATATATATAATATTTTTATTGTTATAAAAATATTATAGACAATATATATATATATATATATATATATATATATATATATATATATATATATATATATATATATATATATATATATATATATATATATATATATATATATATATATATATATATATATATAGATATAGTACAATAATAATATAGTACAATATATATAGTAACAATAATATAACATATATAGTACAATATATCTTTGGCCTTCTAATAACTTGAGCTGCATCTTTCCAACCAGAGGGAACTGTGTGGTAGATGTAACGTTCAGAACATTTAGTGTTAATATTAAACCCTTAATCATACATTATACAAGAGTATTTTAGAATACAATCTAAACATTTGTTTCGATTTGTATTTTCTTTATCCAAAATTTAGCTTCTGTAAGCTTTAGAAATTATTTAAAGAAATTATTGAAGAATTTTGAGCTACAGGTACTAATGTTTTCATATTGTTGTGATGTTTGTATTCACTCCTTGTTAGTTTCTGTAAGTCAAAACTTTTAGGTGTTTTCATAATAAACTCTGTTATATCTGAAATTTAGTGTAAGTCTATATAATTTAATTTCTTAAATCTGTTTTGCCTTGCCTGTCTTATAACATCTTTACTTGGAACAAAATTCATGTGCTTTAAAAGTGAGCAAAAAGCTTTCAACCATAAAGAAAATATTGCATTTGCTAACCCTAAATATATATTAAACCTGTCAGCAAGATCAGTTGTCAGTAATCCAAGTATTAGCATCATTAAAAATTCATCTTTGCTGCATAACATTTATTTTGGTCCAAGTAGTTAAGGATTTTTTTAAATTTCAAAAAACAGCAGTAGATGCTTTTTAATATCACTTTATCTTCTTTTGATTAATGGTGATATTGCATTAACTGATGAAACACATCGACAGATGTAAGGCCAGTATAAAATTCGCAAGATCTATCATTTTTAAAATAAATGTTTGTATACAAGGAAATTGCAATAACACGATTTGTTTGGATTATGTTTATATGTAAATTTATTTCATAGTAATAATTAATGTGGTTGAATTTAATTTTTAAAAAAAAAATTTTTTTTTTTAATTTCGTGCTGAACTTCTTTTTTTAAGTTACCAATTTCCTTCTTTAATTCATGATGCTTTATTATAAAACAACACCTAACATTAAATTCAACATAATTTGATGGATCATTGTTTGAAAAATTTGTATTATTTACATTAAATAATATAAGTCTTTAAGCATTGTAGCCTAAGTTTAACGAAAAATATTGATTTTTAAACAATAAAGCGCTGTAAGGAAAATTGTCTGAACATACTCACATTTTATATTTTATGGTAAATAATTTACTATGACGCAATAATGTAGGAGTTGAACAGTTAATTAGGTTTCTCTATATATTTCTCTGAGCTGCAGTTGTTTTTATATTATTATATACCTGTGTGTGTGTTGATAATGGAAAACAAATGCTTACTCAAATGGTAGTTTGCAGTTTCATAAGTTAGAACTTTAACATACATAAATCATCTTTCCACGTTTCTAGATTGTACTCGTTATTTTTACAATCGATGAGAGCGCATGTTTTCGATCTTTTGAAACTTCTATATGGTATAGGTTCAGTATTTACATTTTTTTCCATTATAGACCTCTATAACTTAAACCATTGAAATAATGTTTGTTTACATTTTTACTTCCATTTCTGCACACGCATAAATTTTATATCAGAACTGTGAAAAGGTGTATTGTCTTTTTTAAATTTTTTTTAGTAGTTTACTTCAGAATTTTTCATTCCAAATAAATATAAAGGGTAAAACTTTTTAATAAGCTTTAAGTATAAGTAAGGTGCATATGTGAACTTTCATTTTTGGTCATTTTTGCTCATAATTCAATGTGGAATAGTGTTTCTCCATTTATGAGAAAAACAAACTATTTTATAAATCTCTTATAAAATCCACTTATACAAGATACTCTTTTAAGATCTGTATACGGAAAAGGTGCGAATGATAATTTTTTTTTAGCCAATTATGTCTGGACTTGTGCTTAAAGCAATTTATTTACAAAATTTTAAAATTATTTTATTTTACCAAATAATATTAAAGTGAGTGAGAAACGATCTGTGTGGAATAAATTAGAATAGAAATGGTCGCTTTGGTAAAGACCTGTATTTTACTGGCCCGGAAAGCTAGGATATACATATAAAGAAAAAGTATGGAGAAGGTCAGTGTGGAATAGACTTACTAAGACTTGTGTTTTTATGGTCGTTGGAAACTTTTTATACCAATGGTCACATTTCAAGCGAGTATTTAGACAAGTACTAATATCCAATCAGCAATTTACGCAACGGTTACTGTAACATTTAACGTTTATTAATGTTAATTATAATAGAAATTTTTATTTTTCATTACTTTAAGAAGGAACAAAACAACAACAACAACAAGATATTTATTTTTCTTTTCAAAATTTACATATAACCATATGGTAACAATAATAATATTATCTATAATAATACAAACAAGATAATTATAATAAAATATAACTAATAAGAATAAATATAAACAATATTTGAAAAGAAAGGTGTCACTCAAACAGAAGCCTGATCAAAGGAGTGACACAAAATAATTATAACAATAGTAATTAAATAATAATAATATTATCTATAATGATACAAACAATATAATTATATAAAAATATAACTAATGAGAACAAATATAAATAATTATTTGAAAAGGAAGGTGTCACTCAAACAGAAGCTTGATCAAAGAAGTTACACCAAATAATTATAACAATAATAATTAAAAATAATAATATTATCTATAATAATTCATATAATATGATGACATGAGTGTCACACATGATCAAAATGAGTGACACCAATTAATTATAACAATTAGTATAATAATAATAATAACAAATATGAACCAAAAATTGCCAAGAAAATAAATAAAATAATAATAGCAACGATAAAGCTAAAATAAGTTAAATAATAAGATAAAAAATATGAAAATACTCAATAACAACAGCAAACAAAAATAAAAATTATTAGCAAAACAGAACAAATAAAAAACAAACCTTACACAAACGAAAAGGCAAAACACAAACTACAAGATGAAACACAAAAACTACAAAACGAAAAGGCAAACACAAATACTTCTACAAAATAAAATTAAATTAAAAAATAAAGATAAACTTTAGTTATTATTTGCAAAATAAAAAAAAAAGTGTAAAAAATTTGGTAAAATAGAAAAACAGAAAACAACAATAAAAATAATTAGCACAATTAGTAACTTTACGCAAACGAAAAGAGAAACACAAAAACTACAAAACGAAATAAATACACAAAATGATAATATTTAACAAATATAATATTTAATATAATTAATAATTAATAATACAATAATAAAAAATAATAATATAACAATTATCACATATTTGCTACAATAAAAAAAGGTGTAGAAAAATTGGTTGCAATTTTTTACATTTTTTTAACAATTGTTTCAAACATTTTTCAAACTTTTTGCTTTTAAATTGGTACTTTGCTGTTATTTGATTTTTTTTGTTTTGTTTTTGTTTGATTAAATTTGTTTGTTCTTTTTTTTTCATTTATTCATTTTCTTGTTTTATTTTTCTTCAATCTTTTAATTTGTTTACACTCTTCAATTATTTTCTTTTTTTACATTATTTCTAACTAATCTTTTTTATTATTTAAAAATTTCCTTTACTTTTCCTTTTTTTTTTTTTTCCTTTTTTCAATAAACAATAAGTATAGTTTTTCTATATGTATATAGCTATTTTTCTACATTTTTAAAGGAATAAAACATAATACAATAATTTAGTTTTTTACAAATAAATTAACAACAAAATTGAAAACTTTTTTCTATATGTATATAGCTATTAGTCTACAGCTCACAATAAAATCTTGAAGTAAGGAATAAGTATAGAAAAGGACGATGTGGAATAAATTTATAATTACCCGTATTTTATGGGTCACGACAGGTAGTGTATAATAATAATAAAAATTGTAGTTTTGTGAGATGTTGTTATGAGCAGGTGAAGCCGTTGTATGCTTAAAAGTTATGAAATAGTTTAAATTTTCTAAATTTGAAAAGATTTAAATTTTTAATAAAAAATTTTCAACTTTAAAAATAAATTTTTAAAGGAATAAAACATAATACAGTAATTTAGTTTTTTACAAATAAATTAACAACAAAATTGAAAACTTAAACATTGAGTAAAAAAAGTTTTTATGTTTATATTTAGTAAAACTTTTTATTTAGTAAAATATTTAAAACAATTATATCTAAAAGCAGTGATATTTTGCATTAATCTAAGCAAAGTAAGTAAAAAAAAAATTAAATGAAATTAAAAAATTTAAAAATAAAAAATTGAAGCAAATTCAAATTTAAAAAAAAGTCAAAAATAAAATTGAAAAGTAAAACAAAATTATAGTTCTTATATGCTACTGTTGATATTTTATTCACTTACATTTTTATCCTATTATTCAGATACTATAAAAAAAGGAATTAAAAAACAATTAAAGATAAATTACTGTTAGATAACTAAGACTTCAATATGAAGTTCAAGTAATTATCTATTTATTTGTTTTTATTATTTTTTGTTCAAAGTTTGTTATGTTTATGACTAATTTTTTGACTTATGATGATTTTGGTTAGTTGAAAATAATTGGTTGATTGGCTTTTTATTAGGCAATTTGTATATAACTTAGTTATAAAAAACAATATTAAGAAAAGTTAAATTTTGTGAAGCCTAACATGAATCAGCAGTGTAATGTTAGGTTTATGTCCTGACATCTTTAAGTTGGCCATTACAATTATTAGTATTTTTGCATCAATATTTTTAAGCTTTTTTCACCCGACTTTAATTATTTAACTTCAACTATTACTTTTATTATGATATTTAAAAATATATATATATATATATATATATATATATATATATATATATATATATATATATATATATATAATTGTACTTTAAACCTTTAAAATTTAAACTAACGCGTTTAATTACAATACAATTATAAAGTTTTTTTTTTTTAGTTTTAGAGAAAACTGCTGCAAAATGCATAACATAACGTTTTCCAAAGTTAATAAGCCAAAATATTAAAAAAAAAAAAGTTTACTTATATGCAATAGGGAAAAACAATCCATTCACACCAGTAGCATCAATATTTTCTTTCTTTATAACAGGTGATCCATCACCAAAATCAACAACCAACAGTACATTGGTGCCATTAAATATTGTAACATTTGTGATAAAAGCAACATCTTTTGTTAAACTTTTATCAACAGCCAAACTTAGGCCATTTATTTCAGACAAAACTGCAATATCAATTGAAGTGTTTAGAGTGTTTAACTTGTTTCCAGCTGTCAAATACACAGTGAAAACACCTGAAGAAAAAATATATATACATAAATTATATTTATTTATTCATTTTTATTAAGGCACTATCATACAATGTTAAAAAATGTTAAAAATTTCTATGAGTAGAAAATAAACAGTATTAAAAATAATTTTTTTACAAATAAATACAAATTTAATTATATTTACAAATTTCATAATTAAACTTACTATTTTAAAATAAATTCCTGAATTGAAATCAATATTGAAAAATATTTTAACTTTTATTTTTAAATTATTATTAAAACTTTTTAACTTAACATTATTTTTATGTATTTTTATATTTTTTGTATTGATCTTTTATTTTATATACTCATGTTTTTCAGCTTTTCTAAAGCTTAATTATGTAACTGTCTATTACTTCATTTGTGTAGCCATATGAAGGACTGCAAAATAAATTTAATTTAATTTGTTTTTAATACTTTTCTGAATATTATAAAAAAAAGTTTTAATTTGTTTGCACATTTTTTTAATTAGGTTTTGAGTTTCTATTTAAATTTAATTCAAATAAATTATGGAAGAGTTACAGCACTTTTTTTACAACCAAATATTTGATATTTGATATATTTTTTTTTGATTTGCTGTTTTGCAAATTAAGACTGAGTATTTTTATTTCAATAATAACACTAAGAAGATGATAGACAAATGTCTATGTGCTCCTTTTTCCATTGTCATTTTTTAGAATTTTATCAATAACAACCTAATAACAGCTCAATAACAAATAAATTAATATTTTTATGTACTACAACACGCTAGCTATATCTGTTTAAAGATTTTGACCTCTTAAAAAAGTTAAAAAATATTTTTTTATGCTACAATTTTATGGATGAGGATACAATTTTTTTTTGTTTTTTTAAGATAAATATTTGAAAAAATAAAGATGCAAAAAAGACATAAAAACCTAGGGATTATTTGTTTTCTATAAATTCACAAAAAAGTTGAAAAATATATATATTTATATATATATATATATATATATATATATATATATATATATATATATATATATACATAAGTGTATCTAATATATACAAAAAAGATATATACATGCTTCTATTAATAAATAATTTTGAAAAACTACCTGAAGAAACTGGCTTAAAACTAACTTCACCATTTGAAACAATTGCAGTAAAATTTAGTTTTGGAATATTGAACATGTATATAACATCTGTTCCATTGTCTATAACAGCTTTAAAAGGTATCCAACTATCAACCTTATATCCAGCTATAAAATTAGAAAATGGCTTCATATCCGCAAAATTTAAATTGCTAACAGGAATCTATAAGTTTAAAAATTTATATTATGTTAATATTATTATAAATTACACAGTAATTTGTAATATTATAACCATAATTTAAAAGTATATTAATATATATATATATATATATATATATATATATATATATATATATATATATATATATATATATATATATATATATATTTCTATATATTGTTGCCAAATTTAACAGTTTTAATATTAGTATATATATATATATATATATATATATATATATATATATATATATATATATATATATATATATATATATATATATATATATATATATATATATATATATATATATATATATTTCTATATATTGTTGCCAAATTTAACAGTTTTAATATTAGTATATATATATATATATATATATATATATATATATATATATATATATATATATATATATATATATATATATATATATATATATATATATATATATATATATATATATATATATATTAATATATATATATATATATATATATATATATATATATATATATATATATATATATATATATATATATATATATATATACTAATATTATATTAATTTATAGTAATTTGTATTATTATAACCTTAATATATAAAATTAAGGTTTTGATGATTATAACATTCTGTACATCTATAAATCCTACACTCATCCTAGTATGAAATGCTATTGTCATATTTAGGCTAGATTTTCTATTTCTTTTATAAACAATCAAAATGGCATGTAAATGTCAAGCATCCTTGAGCTTCTGTAGCATCACATATAATTGAACTTAATTTTGAAATCTATGAAACCATAGAATATGACAATTTTGATCTTCAACCGACTACTTTTGATTTACTACTATTTTTTCAACATACTGAGATACTAAATAAATGTTTAACCTACTGTTTTTTTAATCAACTTAAAAACTTAGTTTTTTTAGGTATGCATTTTGTATATAACTTAAATTGCTTGTTTAATGAGCAATCTGATATCACACTGAAGTAGCCTGCTGCCAGGGGTTTCAGTGCATACATTGGCTGACAAATAGCCTTACTTGCAGCAGAGTGCTGCAACTGAGACTGCAACTGAGACAACTGCGACTGAGAGTTTGGCATGGGGCAGCAACCTTTTCTTTTATTATTCTTCGTTTTTTTCTTCTTTTTCTAAAAACCTGGTGTGCTATAAAGATAAGCAAAACTAGTGAGCAAATGCTTATCTAAATAGGCTATACAAGATATATATATATACTATAGCGTTTAAAGATTACTAATTGCTAACTCTTTTTTCTTACTTTTATTGCATACTGCTTTTTCAGAATAAGAAAAAAACGAAGAACAGTAAATGAAAAGATTGCTGCCTCAACCAGAACCTTTACTTGATGTTGTGGCACTCTCTTACTAGTAGCAGGCTATAAGATGTATGTACTTATGCCTTTGGCAGCAGGTTGTATGACATCAGATTTCTCTTTTATTGATTTAATGTTAATATTTATTTATTAAAAAACCTACACAACACAAAGAACAAATGTTAAAAAAACACAGACTTGTAGGTTGAAGTAAATAAACCTATATTCAGTTAAAAATTAAATTAAATCTCAAATTGGTTGAAAATGAAAATCAGTTAAAAAATAAATTGGTCAGAAAATGAGAACATCATAAATTGGTCAAAATTAAAAAAGAACATTAATTGGTTAAAAACATTTTAGGCCTCAGTAGGACATTAATTAATAATTTTACTCAGTAGTAAAATTATTTTCACTTTTTAGTAGATGTTTCTTTTTGTAGGTCAATTTAGAGTGAAGTTTTTGTAGATTGAACTATGTGACATGCATCCATTTTTGGATGTTTTATTCTGTTTTCTATTGGGTCAGCTAAAAAGTAATGAGCAATTTTTTTTATCACTCTTAAATAGTTTTAGAAACTTCAAGTTTTTATAAGTATATGTAAGATACTTATTAACAACATCGACGCCAAACATATGCAATTGGATAGGTCAGGGTTTGATGTCTGCGGCAACAGTTTTTAATGCTAATTCACTTTAAATTAACTTCAAATTTAACTTCAAATTGAACTTCAAATTTAACTTTAAACATTAACTTCAAATTTATTAACTTCAAATTTAAGATCAACTTAGATCAAACAGATTAATGGAATTGGATTTAGAGCTTTTAAAGTAGTCCAAGATTAAACACAATTTTGCACAATAACAATTTTTCCCATTTTGCGCAAGTGGTGTTTTTGCTTAGCAAGCAAAAACACCACCACTTGCACAAAATGGGAAAAATATTTATCCTCAGTGTTTGGAGCTTGGCTGGAAAGTATTGCATCATTCACACACTTACCCATTTTTGTGTCAAGAAATTATTATTTGTTTTAATCACTAATCAGCAATTTGCACAAAGATTCCACAACAAAGAGATACCCTAAAATCAAATTTGTTAATTTTTTATCTAAAGTCTAAAGAGTTTTACACCAATGGCATTTATTTTTTCCATGTATTTACATTGACATTAAACTTTCCCATTTATTAAAGCTAGTTTAACTGTTGTAACTTCTTTGTTATTTCAACTCATTATAATTAATTAAAATTGAAAAAAAAAATTAATTATTTTTGAAACAAATCCTAGAAAAAAGTAAAAAATATTAAATTTTTAATGGAAATAAATATTAACCTGGTTGTTTAAAGAAAAAGTAAATTGCTGAAATGAAGGAATGTTATTAGAAGCATTAACAGTTATGTTGAATAATCCAGAACTTGAAGGTAATGGAACTAAATACTCAAATGGTTTTGAGATAAAAATTGATATAAAAAAATCAATGTTACTAATTGTATTGGCTAAGAATGTAACAGTATTCGCAATCATTGCTCCCAAGTCTTGAATTGATTTTGATACCGTTTCATTACAAAGTAAACTTGTATTTCCACCAATCCAAATCATATCATTATCTAAAATTTCATTAAACTTGTTTCGAATTGGTATCTCAATAACTCCAGTATCATTTAGTAGAAAAACAAATCCTAAAAAAAAATTATAATTTCTAAAAAAAATTTCAAAAATTTTATAATCAGTACATTAAATAAATTTTAAATTAGTCTTGAATTTTAGGCTTTGAAATTAAGGTTTTAAATCAATTCTAATCTTATCCATTCTCTCCTTGACCATTCTTATCTTAGAACAGTTGTCTATTCTTATCTTAGAATGGTTGTCCATTCTTATCTTAAAATAGTGTCTTTATGCAAAAACAAAGTTTTAAACATACTCAATAGAAAGTTATGAAATTGAGTTTCTGTTTTTATTTTGTGAAAAAAATCAGAAATTTTAAATTACATGTATCTCATAGACCACCAAAAGTTTTAACTAACATTTTTCGAATTTATTTTTCTCATTATAAAAAGCTAAACAATCAAATTTCATTAAAATCTGAGGTTTATTTTAAAATCCAAAAAGATTAGACTATTTGAGATGAAATGACTCTAATACAAAGTTAAATAAAATTTTAAACAACACTATGTTACTATACCCTAAAAAAAAAAAATGTTTTTATTTAAAAAAAAAAAGTTATAGTTTACAAACAACTAAATAACACCTAAAATTACAAATGGAATGTTAGTAAACATTTGTACAGAAATAGCAAAATTAATAAAAATAAACAAGTTAAATACAAATAGAAAAGTAGAAATTTATATTTAAAGATATTCAAGTACAAATTAATATTGTGTATTGTGTAGACAAATATGATTTAAAAATCATTTAAACATGCCCAAAAAAAGCAGACTGATTTGCTTTTTGTTAAAAAAAATTTAAATTGTAATTAATTTTTTTTTCTATATTTATTTAACTTACATTGAGAGTTTGATTAAAGATTTGGCTATTATTATATAAAATAATAATAGACAAATCTTTAGACAAAACCTTTGGAAAGACGACAGTTCAAAACTTGTGAACTATAAATAATATATATTTGTAGATTATATATATAATATATAATCTACAAATACATACCATCAAAGAATTGTCTATAAAAACATAAATCATTAAAAACTTCAAAAAATAAGAACATCATCATCACACACAAAAAAAAAAAAGAAATTGTATAATTCTTTTTAACAAAATTGACTCTAGTAAAGTTGGTCAATGGGTTCTTTTTTAATTCCTATCTTAGCTAATCTTTTTATCAGATTTTATGTGTCAACATGGCTTAATAAGTGTCATGTTTATATACAAATTACTTTTTTTTTTTACAAAATTTCCACAAAAAAACTATTAACACTGAAAGTATCGATAACAAAATGAACTTACATGTTTCATACCTTTTTTATTACCTCAAATATATGAAATTTCATTCATTGGAATTTACTCTAATTATACTAAAAATCTCTAAAATTGATAAAAATATTTTATGTATGTAAACATTTAAATGCATCAATTCATGAAATAAGTCTAATTCTTTCAACATTTTTGATACTGCTTTAACCAAACATAAATTAGGTAAAATAAGCCGTCCACATTAAATGGAAAAATCACTCACTTAATAAACAAATTTCCCATTAAACTTTTAATTATAAATTATCTATTTAATTAAACAGACAGTTTATTTTATTAATTTACTGAGTAACTTTTGTAATCATTTTTATTAGTTTATTAAGTATATTTTTTGAATATATGGATATTATAACTAATATCGAAACTTGCGCTTTACAACTTGAAAATCTTAAGTTAGTTAAAACTTAGTTTTTCAAGTTGTAAAGCGCAAGTTTCGATATTAGTTATAATATCCATATAAGGAATTTTTTTCGGCAGTGGTACAATTTTTTTCAGCAGTGGTACAGTGGTATTCCGGTTATTATTGATATATTGAACGCTGACATTGATGACTTAAAAACTTGAACTAAACTTACTCTTGCAGACATACATCAATTAATTGAACTTTCATTAAGTATATGCTATTTTTTATATGAAAACAATATCCGAATAATACCTAATTCAGGTCCTATAGGTTTATCTTTAATGGTTGTTATAGCGGAAGTGCTTTTACAAAATATAGAAAGAAAAGCCCTTAACATAGCAAATATTCATACATCCGAATCAAAAACTTACAAGAGATAAGTAGATGATTGTCATGCTCGCTTTGCTTCAATAAAACAACAACAAATGTTCCTGAACATCCTTAATGAACAACATCCTGGCATAAAATACACAGTGGAACTTGAAAACGACCTCAAACAACTCAATTTCCTAGATATTAACATTACAAACACAGGCTCTGGAACTTATGAATTTCAAATACATAGAAAAGAAGCTATTACAAAAGTTTAACTTAAACCTAACTCGAACATTAATCCTAGCATTATTATTGGCGTTTTCAAAGGATTTTTATGTCGTGCTAAAAGAATATACTCTTAAAAACACCTTCAATAAGAAATTGATTTTCTAATAGACATCTTTGTTGAGAATGGCCACGACAAGAACATTCTAAATAATATTACTATAGGCTACTTAAAAAACGGTTCAAAAAACACCACATTTCAACAAATAGATACCCAACCCTTTATAAAACTACCTTGGATACCAATTGTTGGTCCAAAACTTCGTAAAGAATTTTGAAAGCAAAACATAAAGGTTATTTTCACATCAACTCCCAATTTAAAAAATATTTTCTGCAACAGTAAAACTAAACTACCACTAATTATCTGTAGCCCCAGAATATCGAACTCGGAAAATCAGAGAGTCACTCAAAATAAGCAAGGCTAGAGTTTAACAGGAATTGAGAAATGTTGACGTGGTTCTTAATCGGGATGACGGCGATAACGTAACAACCAAAACCTGGGAGCCATTTTTTAATAAAATCTGCTGACGTCAGTTGTTTGAAAAGTTTTTTTCTGTATTATATTATGGCTTTTTAATGTTATCTTTTTAACGGTTTGTTTTTACTATAACGATTTTGTAACTATTTTGTTTATTATACCTGATGACGCTGATCACAATAGATCAGCGAAATATCGAAATAATTATACATTAAAGAAAAAATATATATATATTTAAAAAAAGTTTATACGCAGCTGTATTTATTGAATTCTAACCATATTTTAATGTATAACAAGAAAATGACATTCAAAGATTATATATATATATATATATATATATATATATATATATATATATATATATATATATATATATATATATATATATATATATATATATATATATATATATATATATATATATATATATATATATATATATATATATATATATATATATATATATATATATATATATATATATATATATATATATATATATATATACATTAGGGTGTCCCAAAAACACACTTTTTTTAAAATTTCAATGTGCTTTCGACTGATCCTCATTCTATAGGTCCTAAATAGCTACCAAAATCTTTTTTTTAACTTTTTAATGACTAGAAGTGATAGATGTAAATTCTGAGTTTTACGGTTTTGTACACATATGTGTATTCACTAAAAAACAGCGCTATCTAGTATTTCAATATGTTTTAATATGATGTAATAATTAGTACACAAATAATTCCCATAGGATATTATTAAAGGATCATTCCCTATGAGCAGCCGTGGCGCAGTGGTTAGAGTACTGGCTCAGAACCCAGAGGTCCGAGGTTCGACGCCAGCTCCAGCCCAAAAAGCGACATTGGTACGGAAAGAGGCGTGAACTTCCCATTAAATGCTCTCCCGCGGTGCTCTATGATAAGACCGTAAGGACTTCTGGGAGCACCTAAATACATACAAAAAAATAAATAAATAAATAAACAGTGTTAGCGATTGATATTTTTCCCTCTGGACAATATTATTAGTTGGTATAATTCCCCATGGATTGGTTCACAAATAACTCCATTTAGAAATTTTTTTTGAAGGAAAAAATTTCTAAATGGAACTATTTGTGCATGACGGAATTCTAATTTGTGCACTAAGAAATTCTTGTGTAAACGGTTATAAAAGCCGTAACGGTAAACTTAGATAAAATATTATACGAGAGGGAATAACGACTTCATAGATTTTTGATGCAAGTGTAACATTTCGTAAAAATTTAGTTAAAAAACTGATTATTTCGAAATTCATATAAAGATGGGTAGATCAGCTAAAAAAAAGAAGAAAATAGGACAGAATAAAAAAAAACGGAAAAATACAAAAAGGTTGAGGTATATTTACCTATTGAAGTACCCACTGAGGGAGTTACCTCAGAGACAGCTTCCATCTAATGGTGATATTCTTAGATACTATCAATTTATCCTTCGCGAGTCACAAGTTAAATACAAACCCACTTCTACTAATGTTGGTTGCAAATTGAAATCGAAATCCAAGGATCTTGTTTGTGAAAGTGGTGTTTGTACAGATGCTGATAATTCTTGCTTGGTATCTAGGATTAAAAAAATTTGGGATAATGCTGGGTTTGGCAAGAAATTTGTGATTTGTGGGTACAATATAAAGACCAAAATCATTAAACTTAATTTAAAATACAAGAAATTGATTAAATTGTCTTCTCTAAACTGGAACAGCAGTCTTGATAAGCAATCAAAGTTAGAGAAAGATTTTCTCACAGAATCCTATCAGCTTTTTGACATCTCGACTAAGAATTTTAAAAAAGATATTCTTGCTGATAGATTGAGAACAGATGATGCTAAGCTGGAAGATATAAAGTAAGTTCATTAAATAACACTTTTTTTAGTAGTGAGATTTTTTTTCAATTAAAAGTAACTTAAGTAATAGCATATTATTGCCTTTAAAATATTTACATTTAACTCTTTACATGGTTTGGTCATCTTCCAAGAAAAACTAGAACAATTATTAATTTATTTATAAATGGCTTAATAGATTTAAATATTTCTTAGTTTTTATGAAGATCAGAAGTTACATAGGAAAGGATATATGGAAACAAAAGTCGATGAAGACTACAGTAGAGGAGTACTGGATGCAAACAGGAGAAAGAACAAGCTAGATAAGTTGAGAGAGAAAGAATTAGAGACAGAAAAGCTTAAAAGATATTAATGATGTTTTGTTGTCACATGACTCCATGACAGAAGAGATTCAATTCAGCAGTGAGGGAGAAAAGTCAAACGAGGACTCTGAAATCAGCGAGGAAGATGATTTCCTGGGTAACGGTCGGAAACGCAGGTATAGCATTATTTTAATAACATAGTTGTAATTTTCACAAGCTAAAGCTGTTTTATTGAAAGGTATATAATTATAAATAGGTAGAAAAATATTATAAAATGATACCTAGGTACAATTCTGGAGATAGGATAAATCTAGCAGTGAATGTTGAAAAGCTCATTGAATGTACTGCTATTCAAGCAACAAGGTTCAATGTTGGTATACGACTAATTTTAAGTGAAGTATTTAAAGCTGGAGGTATAGAAATTAATGATATACCGCTTTCACCAAGCACACTTCATAGAAAAAAGTTCAAATATGTAGAACTTGAAGGAGACTTGGAGTGGATTTCAATATCTAATCATCTTAAAGGCCGACAGCTTATCCTTCATTTTGATATCAAAATGTTGGAACAAATTACCATTCAAAAAATTGAGCAACTTGCAGTCTCAGTGAGTTCCCCGGATGACGATACCATGGAAGACCATCTTTTAGGTGTTGTTCAATGTCTCTCTTCAAAGGGAGTTGACCAAGCAGAAAAAGTGCACAATCTTTTAGAATATTACGGATGTAAAGAGCAGATCATTGGTATATGCTGTGATACAACTGCAAGCAATACAGGCGGAGTAAATGGAGCAGTCCAAATTCTTACAGATATTTTGAAATTACCAATTTTGTGGATAATGTGTAGGAGACACATATATGAAGTACATGTATCTCACTATATGGCTGCCCTTACTGGTGAGAAAACTAAAGGTCCAAGAAGAGCTCTTTATGTCAAGCTAAAGAACAAGTGACCTGAAATCTGTGAGAAAGTGAATGAAGTGAAAAATTTATGTAAATTGGACTGGCAAAGAGATGATCTGAAGATTGGCTCTGTTCTTCTCACTGTTGCAGAGGAAGCTAAGACATTTTTGACTAATGCAACTACTGATATAGTGTTTTCAAGGAATGATTATGGTATAGTTTGTAAGCTTGCCTC